GAGTCCCAGGTCAGCTGTGCCTGAAGACAGCCGCCCGCCCCTACTTCAGAAGCCTTGTGATTCATTCGTCCGACGCCCTTTCGCTTCTGTGCTGGTCGGCGGGGGGCTTGCAGTCACTGGGAGCCTGACCTACGAGTGCCCTGCTGTCTCCGAAAATGGCTCCTGGATTGGGAGGGGAGTGGGCCGCCGAGGAACTCGGAAATGGACTCACTGATGAGGTCTAGGAAGGACAGGCTGATGAAGAGGTTGGTGGCCCAGTTGAAGCTGTTGCAGAAGGCGAAGGCTCTCCCTCGGATCTCTGTGGGGTAGATCTCGCTGAGGACAAGCCAGGTCACTAGGGGAGGACAGCGGGTGAGGCTCTCAGAGGGTGGCCTGACACCGGCCGGGGGCACCTGACATGATTCATGAGGCAGATAACAGAGGGAACTCAGCAAGTCTCAGCCTCCTGCTGCCAGGATCTCCCCAACTGCTTCCTCACCACCTGTGAGAATCCCCCCTGAGAGAACAGGCCACCCTGGCTCGGCCGGGGCTGAGAGGTTTCTGAGGACACAAAGCTTACCATGTCCAAACCAGGATGCAGGCCATCCCCACTGTCCATCGCTTTTTAGTGATACCTTTTAGAGTGAGCCGGCCAGGGACAGAGACCGGCTTTTACTCTGGTGGTGTCATGGGCTGTGCACTAAGCTGTCTTAGCGATTCAAACAATGTCAGCAGTTCGACCCCACCAGCTGCTGCATGGGAGAAAGATGAGGCTGTCTACTCCCACAAAGACTTAAAGTCTCAGAAGCCCAAGAAGGCAGCTCTACTCTCACCTATAAGGTGGCTGTGAGTCGGAACTAATTTGATGGCATCAATCAATCAACCAATCGAGGCCCTTAGAAAGAGACAAGATGACAAACATCAAACGAGGCTCGGGTCCTTGGAAGGAGTATGCACACGTGAGGGTCCCTGAGGCTGAAGCATCCGTTGGCTTTATGAGCCTGGTGGCACAGGGCTTATGCATTGGGTTGCTAACCACAAGGTCAGCAGTTTGAAATCACCGGCTGCCCCCCAGGAGAAAGATGAGGCTGTCTGCTCCCCTAAAGAGTTCGGTCTTGGAAACCACAGGGGCAGTTCTACCCTGGCCTATGGGGTCCCTCACTGGGTCCCAAGATGGCAGAATTTAGTTAGTTTTTTTTCTTTTTTTCCGGAGGCTGACAATCCCAAACTTTCCACTAAGAGGAGCCGGAGGCAAGGAAACGCCCACTTACCTGGTCCAAATCCGAAGGAGAAGGCGCTGACAAAGACCATCAAGCAGATGAGCGTGGTCCAGTGCAGCAGGGCCTGCCCAGGCGCGGGAGCGGGGCGCACGGGGGAGGTGGGGCTTGGGCTCCGCAGGGGAGCGGTCGCGGGGGCTCCCGCTCTAGGGCGGGGCTTGGTTTCCTGGGCGGTTGGCAGGACGGGTTCCCTTGGGTTCTGGGAGGTTCTTGGCAACAGAGGTGGAGGGGAGCCCAGCGACAGGCTGGGGTCCCCGGATGGTGTGGTGGCATTGGGTCCAGGCAGGCAGCTTGGCCCCAAGTCCATGGGCATGGCAAAGCAGACGAGGCCTATGCCGCTGACAGCCAGGGCCATGAGCGCACAGCCGGCGAGCAGCAGGGCCCTGCGCCCTGCGTGGTCCACCAGCCCCATGGCGGTCAGGGTGGCTGCCACCTTCACCGCTCCCAGCCCCACGGAGGCCAGCACCGCTGAGGAACCCCCGCGGAAGCCCACCGAGCGGAAGATGGTGGACGCGTAGCACAGCACGTTGGGTTGCCCCGTCAGCTGCTGCAAGAGCACCAGCCCCAGTCCCACGGCCGTCCGCCCTCGCATGTTGTCCCGCGCCCTGAAGAGGTCCAGAAAGGTATACCCGGGCCTGCTCGCACCCAGCTTGGTGGACTCACCTCCCCGGAGGGGAATGAGGTCCTTGTGGGCAGCCGCAGCCTCTGGCGCAGCCGAGGGTAGGAAGAGAAGGCTGAGGGACTGCAGGAGGGCGGGCGCGGCGGCCCAGCCAAACATATGCCTCCATCCCCAGGGCACACCGGCCAGCGCGTAGTTGGTGGCGTAGGACAACAGGATGCCCACGGTGATGCCTGTTTCGTAGAGGGACACCAGCACTCCCCGCTGCCGAGGGCCCACCAGCTCAGACACGTAAATACAGCAGGCCATGGAGGAGAGAGAGATGCCAAAGCCAGCCACAGAGCGGCCCAGGACCAGCCAGGCCAGGGAGTCGGCCAGGCCCAGGCTCAGGCTGCCTGCTAAGAGCACCAGGTTGCTCCCCAGGATGGCTTCTTTCCTGCCATAGCGGTCGATGAGGACGCCCCCCACGAGGGAGGCGAGGAGGGCCCCCAGGTGCAGGCTGCCCACCAGGAGCTCCTGCTCCAAGCAGCTCAGCCCAAAGTCCAGCTGCAGTGGCAGCAAGGCACCCGAGATGACAGCCAGTTTGTAACCGAAGGTCAGGCCCCCCAGCAGAGACACAGCGGCACACAGAGGCACGGCGGGCGGGCGGTGGCCTGGAAAACAGAAGCCACAGGGGCAGCATTCAGAATGGTCCCTGGATGAGCATCCACCCACCCAAGCTCCCCTCCCTCCATCCACCTCCTCCACCTGTGCATCCACCCACCCACCCACCCGCCGGCCATCTGAGGCACACCCATGGCAAGCCACAGATGGGGGAGAAATGGAGAAGCCAGTCCTGGGGCCGTCCAGGACCAGCCAGGCCAGGAGCCATTCATCCATCATCCATCCACCCACACATCTATCCATCCGTTCATCCATCCATCCATCCATCCATCCATCCATCCATCCATAGACTGGCCTGTCTACCCATCCACCCAAGCTCCGATCCATCTATTATTCTTTCCATCCAACTTCCCATCCATTATTCCATCTATCCGTTCTCTCCTCTTTCATCCATACATTTTCTCCATACATATATTCATTTGCTGATCCATCTTTCCACCTACTCATTACATCTCCATATTCACCCATGTAGCGATTTATCCGTTAATCTATTATTTCATTCACTGAACCATCCATCCATTTATTGATCCATCTATCAACCAATCCATCCATCCATCCATCCACTCGTGTACTTGTTTTTACACTTCCATCATTTCATCTACCCACCCACATCTACCCACATCCATCCATCCATCCATCCATCCATCCATCCATCCATCCATCCATCCATCCACTCGACCCTATAAACAGTAGCTCTGTGGCACCTATAGCGTACTAGGCATTGTTGTGCAGAGTTGGTGTCAAAAGACCTGGCATCCCAGTAGGAATGGGCAGATGATACACTACATATATAATCTACTCTTGAGGTGGGATGTGCGTCATCAAATAATACAAAGCAGAACAGAGGGGGAGCGTGATGGAGAAGCAGTACTATTTTAAACACCGTGGTCAGCTAAGGCTTCTCTGAAGAAAGGACATTGGCTCGTAGATCTGAATGAGATAAGAGCAAACACCAGGGCACAGTCTGGGTAAAGAACACGCTAGACAGAAGGAACAGTGAGTGCCAAGGCCCTGAGACAGAACAGTCTGTGGTATGTTTGAACAAAAAACTACTCATACCAATAGCAGTGCCAGGCCTTGTTTTAAGAGATCTCCATTCAAACTTTGTGGTCAGGAGAGACCAGTCCCTGGAGAAGGACATCACACTTGGTAAAGTAGAGGGGCAGCAAAAAAAGGAAGAAAAAAAAAAGGCCCTCCACAAGAGGGATCCACAGGGGGGCTGCAGCCAGGGGCTCAGAGATAAGAAGGGTAGGGAGGATGGTGCAGAACTGGGCGGGGTTTCGTTCTGCGAATCAGAACCGACTTGCGGGCACCTAACAACACTGAAACCTGATGGTATTTCATTGTTGCCACCATCGTTGGGCATACTGTGCTGGCCATCCTCCTCCGAGGCAGAGAGGGGACACGCGAGTACCACACTTTCCACTTACCACGCACCCCCATAAATCACATGCACACGCACGTAACCCACACAGTGGTCATAGGAAACTAGTATGTGAGGGGCCTCTGTGACAAAACACAAAAGGCCCACGGTGTAGGGCCTGCAGTACCTGTGAACAGAAGCAGTAAGGGCGGCACTGGTGTGGCAATCAAGTGCAGGCTGGGGCCCCGAGAGCCAGGGCAGGGGTGGCAGGAGACCATGAGATAGGAGCAGACAGGGACCAGCTCCTGCCGGCTTTCTCAGCTGAATTTCATTCTCCGCAGACACAGGCCTTTGGAGAGCTGAGCTAAATTGTCGCCCGGGTTTCTGTCCTGAGACACTTAGTGAGGTGGCGCTGCTCACGCAATGTCCCCACTCTTCTTCTTCTTCTTCT